CACCAACGCAGCTGTGGGGGACGTGCCGTCGTTGTGGCACCACCTAATTGGACACCTGCCCATCGACGCGTTGCGGGCTTGCGCTCGAGCTGGACTGGGTCTGCTATCGCACCTGCAAGCATCAACACGTCCCTGCATGGACTGCCCACGAGCAAAGATGCATCGAGTCAGCGCGCCTAAGACGCACACCCGTTCTTTCGCACCAGGGGAGTGCTGGCACGCCGACACCAAAGGACCATTCCCTACACGATCGCTCAGCGGCTGTCAGCACTACACAGTTTACGTGGATGACAGTACCGGGTACAAGATTGTCCGCTTTATGCACTCAACTGACGCTGCCACGCGAATGCAGAACTTCCAAGCAGTTGTGGCCGACTTGGAGCGCCAGGCCGGACGTCAAGTGAAGATCTTCCGATCTGACGGAGGCTCCGAGTTCGTGTCACACGCATTCGAGGACTGGCTCACTACAAAAGGCATCAAACACGAAATGCCAACCGCCGACAATCAATGGCAAAACGGGGTGGCTGAACGCACACATTGTACGCTAATGGAAATAGCGCTTGCCATGCTCACGCATGCCCGCATGGCACCACGATGGTGGGCCGAGGCCGTCAACACCGCCGCATTCATCTGCAACCGGGTCCTTCAAACAACGGCATGTGTGAAAACCCCGCTCGAATTGTTCAGCGGTCACGTACCAACGTTGATCAACATGCGTGTGTTCGGATGCAAATGCTTCAACATGGTCAAGGCGCCGGAACGCCGCAACAAACTGGCACCTAAGTCAACACTCTGCATCATGGTGGGCTACACTGAGAACATGAAAGCCTACAAACTGTACGACGTCGAAAACGGGTGCATGACCCACGGTGTCCATGTCAAGTTCCTCGAAACCGAGTTCTTCGGTGCCGCAGACCTACCACAAGCACTAGACGAAGAAGAGGACAGTGACTGTGATGAGAACCTTACCAACTCCATCGCTTCCCCATCCCAACGAACGATGGCTACGTCTCAGCCTGCATCACACTTCAAACCCGCGTATCGCCGAATGTCGTCGATTATTGAATCAGGTCGTCATACCGAAAGGGACACCATCGACTTGTCCGCTGCGCAGCCGACCCATGCCCTTGCCGAAGCCAGAAACGCAAAGCCGTCGCGACCCACACACCGGTACCACGCACTTCATCCAGAACGCGTCGTTTGATCGCACACACCAGCCGACCTACACGCAAACACCTCATGTCCCGCCGATGTCTCACTATCGTACCCGATCAACGAGCATGCCGTCCGGTCCTGTGCCCACAACGGACACCCCTGCCCCGGCAGCTGGGCCGACACGTTCGTCGACACGCATACGCAAACCAAACCCGCGTTTTGATTCTTTTGCAAACGCACCCTTGGACGCTTCACACGGAGGCTACCAGTCACATGAACTCGACGATGACATTGACAGCAACACCATGCTATACCATGTCGGTGGAATCGACTATGCATGCGCCGCGGTCCACACACAATTGCATCCCGTACTAAACAGCCACCGAGAGGCCATGACATCGCCCGACTGGCGCCACTGGAAGGCTGCCGAGGAAGTGGAAGTGGCCCAACTGACTCACATACAGTGCTGGACGGTTGAGTCACCTCCGGCAAACAGAAAAATCATCGGTGGACGGTGGAATTACGCTCGCAAAACGGATGTAAAAGGCAACGTCAACCGATAAAAGCTCGCTGGGTCCTAAAAGGCTTCAACCAAGTTGCAGGTGTCGATTATGATGAGTCGTCGTCAAACGTCATCAAAATGACGTCGGTCCGCGCCATCTGCGCCGTCGCAACTGCTCGGAACCTGGTGCTGGAGCAAGCAGACGCAATCAATGCCTACATACAAGCAACGTTAGCGCAACCAATCTGGGCAGTCGAGCCCCAAGGGTATGAATCAGCACCAGGCAAAGCAGCCCTCGTCAAGAAGGCTCTGTACGGCCTCAACCAGAGTGGACACGAATGGGAGACCCATTGCAAGAAACATATCGCAGTGTTAGGGTGGAAACAGAGTCCACACGACCCCTGCGTCTTCACGCGCGGCACCGGTTCCAACATGGAGATCCTGGGAACCTACGTGGACGACTTCACCGTGGCGGCACCCACGCAACCCAAAATTGACCGCATCATGGACGAGTTGGCATCGAGAATGAACCTGAAACGTCAAGGAGGCATACATTGCATGCTCGATGTCAGCATCACCCGCACCGTAAAGAGCCGCGAACTCATCATGACGCAAGACGCCTACACAGATAAGATGCTCAATCATGTCAACATGGCGATGTGTCATCGTGTGGCCACCCCCGAAGTCGCGGACCAAGAAGATCTATGGAACGACGAAAGTCAACCAAGTGTTGATCATGGGTAGTATCGCGCCATGGTTGGATCACTGGTACCACATGATCTGCACGAGACCAGACATCGCGCACGCTGTCCAACGACTGTCGTGCCACCTCCACGCCCCTAGGGCACCGCACCTTGTTGGTGCGAAGCGTGTTCTTCGATACCTGGCTGGAACGAAGCAACATGGGATCCAATTTGGCACTGGTGAGCCAATTCTTACCGGCTTCAGCGACGCAAGTTGAGCGACGCGCCCCGACCGACGATCCACCACAGGCTTCTGCTGGTTGTATCTTGGCGGCATGATCACGCCAGCGCATTACAGCGGTCTCCAGCTGCGAGGCCGAATACATTGCCGCGGCCGAAGCTGCTCGCGAATCCGTTTGGCTCAATGGTCTGATGCGTGACCTGGGGTCTGAACAGGAATGTTTGACGCTGAACTGCGACAACAAGTCGGCAATCGCCACCGCCAACACTACGGCAATCAGTCAAAGGACAAAACATATCGACGTGCGGCACCACTACCCCCAAGAGCTAGTCCGTGGTGGTGTTCTCGTGCTCCACTTCGTCCCAACGGCT